GCCGTTGGGTTTGAAGAAAAGGATAAATACAGTAGGTACAAACAAATTGGGAAATGTCATCTTTGTATTTTGTTAAATTTCTAATCCACCTGCTCCATTTGGAGGTTAAGAAATACTAGGTGCAGAACCTTCCTAAATTACCCTAATTTTTGTACATGAAGGTTTTTTTTTTAATGCTTGTGTGTGTTCAAAGCACTACGTTCACCTGCTTAATATATTAGGAACAAAACAAAGTGAGGGCTTTTAGGTACTGTTGAAAGAATCATTCCATTGAGTTGAATTAAGATTATATTTCTAAATATTTTCCACTTAATTTCTGCAATTAATATTCTGAAACCCAAGGTGATTTGTCATGTCAGTTCATCAAAATTATTCATAAAGTCAGTACATAGTCTGATATTTCAAAATTTCTTAAACATAACATATATTTTTTTACATGTGTTAAAGATTCTAATCTAATGCCTTACACTTGAGCTATTTGGAAGAATCAGTGATAAAATTTATAAAATGCAGAGTTGCCTGCAGTTCATTCTGACAGTTTATAAAGAAAATCTTTGGTTTGAAAATATTAGCCTCATGACGTGCAAACATTTAAAGCCCATTTTAGTTATGTTTTTAACAGAAAAACGTTAGTGGTAAAATGGTAAACAAATTTTCCAGACCTCTCAACCCAACAGTTATACATGCTGATATTTGGAGACCTCACAAGGCTGACTTCTCTCATGTTATCTGATCATATTTCTTTTACCAACATGTTTTCATGATTTTAAGATTTAATACAGTATGGAGGCTTAAGCAATATTTCTCTCCGTATCTAGGCTTTGGATTGTTTCTTGAGGTTTGCAAATAATAAGAGGCAAATTTTCTTAATACATGAGGGTGGTTGGTAACATTCTGTTTTAGTATATTGGATGTTTTGCCATAAGATTGACACCTGAAAAGCTCTCACCTTATTTGGCTTTATAGTCGATCATTTATCAAAATAATTTATTCTTATGAAGACTTGAACACCAATAATAGTTAATTTCTATTAATAATGGAAAGGAGTGATGCAGCATGCAAAAAAAACAAAATTAGTGATTTCATTATCTCCATTTCAGTCAGCTCTGCTGATTTTCAAATCCATATTTCTAAACCTGATGTCTTCTGAACTTTAGGTTTAATATAATCAGCTGTGTATTGGAAACACTTATAAGTGTTTCATTAGGCAACTCAATTCTAAATGTTCAAAATGAGCTCATTATTTCTTTTTTCTTAAAAGCCTGCTCTTCCTCCTGTGTTTCATGACTCAGTGAAAATAAATGGCACTACCACCCATCCCAGTTGCTGAAGCTATAAATTTAACCCCTAATCTTTGACTACTCCCCCTTACTACTGATTCTACTTTCTGAAAAGCTCATCCATTACTCTACTTCATCCCCTCTGCTACCATCCTAGTACAAGCCATTACTATCTTTTGCCTAGCAATAGCAGTAGCTTCCTAACTGTGTGTGTGTTTATATAAACTTACCATCCAACTTAGTATTTTGACTAGGGCACCAACATGATCTTTCCAAGATATATTTGATCTTTCACTTCCATGCTTAAAACCATTCAAGGTTTGCATCATTATTTCAGGATTAAGTTTATAGCTTTGAAATACATAGGATTATGGGTGCTCCAGTTACCTTTTCAGCCTCATCTCACCGCATCCTCTCACTGTTTTCAACCCATACTGAGCTTATTTACATTTTTCCAAGAAGTTTAATTACTTCTCTTCCTCTCCTGGGCCTTAGAGTCTTTTAACAAACTGTTCACTCAACCTAGAAGACTCTTTTTTTTAATTTAATTTTTTATTGATTAAGTTTTTACATGTGTCCTTATCCCCACATAACCTAGAAGACTCTTCCCTTTATTTGGCTATATCCTACTTAAACCTCTGACTCAATCTAAGTATCACTGACTCCAGCAAGTCTTTCTTGATCTCTTTCTAGGTTAAGCAATTATATTAAGGCTTTGCCCAAGCTCTGTGTTTCCCTATTATTCAACAAATATTGATGGTGCGAAGCAGTACCAGGCACTGTATATGAAATCCCGAACTAAACATTTAGTGTCTAATCTCTTGCACTAACTAGTATTCTGGGATAATGATCTGTTATGCATTTATCACTAAAATATAAATTACCTGTTGCTCATATCCCCACTAGGCTGTAAATTCCCTGAGTAGACACTTTGGCTTGTTAGTCACTAAACTTACTAAATAGTAAAGAGATTAAAATCTCAGGGTCAGGAGATGTAGTACCTGTGTCTGTATCCTAGCTCAGTGACCTATTGTATTATCTTGGGCAAGTAGCAATCTGTTTGCTTCAATTTTTTCATCTCTAACATGGAGGTGATAATATTACCTGCCTCAGGGCTGTTGAGTTGATACATATAAAGGACTTAGAATAATGTCTGGAATATAGTAAACAATAAAAAGCAAACTATTATTGCCTATTTACTAAGGTCTGAACATAATGGAGATTAAATAATTAGTTGAATTAAAGAGTTAACAAAATAGTAGAAAAATCTATAAATAGCTGTTTAAAATGTGGTTGACTGATTTCAAATTAAGGATCCTAAATCAGTTTATAAGTTTGAGCAGAAACAGGGTTTGCTTCAAATATATCTGCAGCATAAATATATCAACTCAACTTACTACTGTGACTTTATTTTTTATTTGATTTATTTATGGCTTGGCTTTGCATTAAAATTAAAAACTCCACAATGAAGAGTAATGATCTGTTATATAAACTTCAAAAAAGAAAGACTTAACTAAAGAAGATTGGGATCCATTTCCCTTCAAATAAATCCAGAGTTATAAAAACAAACACCGCTTTTCTCACAGCTCCGTTGGCTAATGAGTGTGGGTGTGGTTGGGCTACAGTTTTCAATATTTCTGGGTTCATGAACAAAAGTTATGAAGAAATCTTTTAAAATTCATGTTTTAAAATATTTCAGAAATAAAAAATGACTCACTGAAAACATTCAAACAATGCAGAAATTTTACAAAACTAAAAAGTCCCTTTCACCCCAACTTTCTAGGGTAAACTTAACATTTTTGATATGTATCATTCCAGGTCTTTATTTGGTATGCAATTAATTGTATACATATATGTAGTTCTATAAAGCAAAAGAAAAATATGATTTTGTTAGAGACATGATTCTAAAACTTTTCTCACTCAAAAATACAATATGAGCATCCCTCCTTATTAGCTTGTATAGACCTGCTTTTTTTTTTTCATGATATAGATATTTTCTTAATTTTATCCATTCCCCTATTGCTAGTCATTTAGGTTGTTTCACTTTAAATTTGCTATTACACAGAATGCTGCAATAAACATTCATGTCAATATGGCCTCTGTTTGTATCATATCTATAGATTAGGTAAATGGGATCAGTATTCCATTTTAAATGTCATAAAGCCTAATATTTCAAATCTAGAGAGCAAATGTTTGAGATGAAAAATTTAGGTAAATTATAACAATTCATGTGTCTTAAGGACTGTATCTTAAACTCTGGTTTTTGTTTTATTATCCAGTAAGAATTCTCTGGAAAATATAGACCAGAAAGATTGCTCACTGTTTAGCAGCCATACAGGCCTTCTTTTTGTACTTCCAATATCTGACCACAGAGCTCTATTTAGCATTTATCGTTCCCCTTTCCTGGAACAGTCTCCAGATATTTTCATGGCCAGCTTTTTGTCTTTCAGGCTTCAGCTCAAACCTCACTTTCTCTGGTAATCCTATCTGGCCATTCAGTCTGGTTGCTAGGGAGCATGTGATTTGGATGTTCTCATCTTGTCAAGAATCTTTACTGAAAGGTTGGAAGTTTCCCATTATTTTCTGGTTTCTATGCATGGAAGGACATGTGCTTAAATTTGAAACAGAAGCATCATCATTTTGGTTAGTAAGAATCAGGAGAAAATAGCTTTCAAGATGGCTTTTTGTCTTGGGCAATGTTTAATATATGCTGGGGCCTGTTCTCTTCAAGTCCAGCTGTTTAGTGGAACTTAATCTCCATCTCTACTATTTGTGCAGCAGCTATACCTGGCAATTCAATGAAGATACAGGCCATTTCCTTATTAATGCCCCTGTGATGCCTGGCCTTTACTAATTTGGTTTCTCCAAAACATACATGAACTTAATGCAAAAGCAATTGAGGATTTACTGCAGTAGCCTGCATCTCTTGTGTTTGTAAAAACTCAATTAAAAACAATGAGCCAGGTGCAATTAATTGAAAATCAGTGGCCATTATTAAAATATTGAATGCATTTCTAGATCATTTGATAGGGCCTCCACAATAATTATTAAAATATACTTTTTCCCCCTGTCTTTTCTAGGGGTCATATCAAAACATTATAACATCTCTCAAATATCACATGAAGGATTTAAAAATATCTTTAGTCTAAAATGGCAGATTGTTCTCACATATCTCTTCAATCCTGCCAAAATAACTAATCCCCAAGGTTATGAGAATAAGAGATGAGACACCATTAACTGATAGATGTCAAACCGTTTTCAGAAGGCCAAGGCAGATGAATATATGATAAATTAATTCAGAGATCAGAGAAAGTTACATAGCAAATGTCTGTAATAGGGCATACTAAACAAACCCACTTGATATAGAACCCGTGAGGCTCAATTTTTGCAGGCAGCAGTCTCCAAGGAAGGGGGAAGGGTAGAAACTTGGGGTTCATTAAAGTCTGTGTTCAGAGCTGTTGGATATCCAAGATCCTTAACCCACCCTGGGACTCTAGATGACTCTTCCTTCCTCATCCTACAGATGTAAAGTTTATTTTCTTTAATTTTTGTATTTATTTTGGAAAGTTTTTTTTTCCTACGTAAATTAAAGCAAAGTCTCAAAGTTAGAGAAAGGCGCAGATGAAGGTTGGGGTTTATAGCACAAACAAGGGAATTATGTGAAAAATCTATAT